CCTATTTTTGCTTTGGCACCACAGCGCCACTTACAGGCCTGGCATACATTTTGCAGCGTTTTCATGCATTGGTGTGGACGATCACATTTATTTTACGTCTCCATCTTTACGACAAATGTTCTGGAAAATATTAGCGTTTCGTGATCGTTTGGACTTCGTGTGGACAGGGCCTTAGTCCCAAATCTTTACCCCCTCCTCCTTGTACCTGCTGTCCACGCTCCTATGTGTCACCACTGCTCAGCTCCACTTCGGAAGGACTGTAGGACCACACATCCCTTCACTTCCGGTCTCCAAATACATACCAACTAGCTATGGGTTTAGACTCACCTCCCCCTGGAACTCCAATCACGTCCATATCAGTAAGCTCTATATTGATTCATTCTTCATCTTTTTTGGAACAACAACTAACCCCTTAGATCTACTTCTAATGGCACACTGAGACGATGTCAAGAAACCTTCTAAGTAAATGTTATGGAAAGCTTTACTACACTTTTCTGCTTTGTTCCTAGCCTAACTAAAAGCATTGTAATTACTAATTGAAATTATAACAATGGAATGTTCCACATTTTTTGGGGGGGGGTGTGTGTTTTGGGGGGTCTGGGCAGGGGTGGATAAGGAGCATTCTCCTCAATGTAATGATATTCCTTTTGTGGGCAGAGGTCACCATTTTAGCAGATGTGTCTGAAAGTCAAACTTCTGTAAAGGTGTGCTGAAGGTACTCCAACTATGCAGCAGTAGTGTATAAACCTTCTGATGGAGAATTGCTTTGTCAACACAGATTGTTTATCGGTAAGGTGATAGTGTCATCAGGAAGGGCGGAGTATTGGATGATGGATGGAAGGAGGGGTGTTAATCCCACAGTATGTCACAGTTCCCCTGAGACACCTCACAATGCAGTAACTTCTGACCCATCACCCTTGAGTTTCTATTTCATATATAAACCTTTTTTTTCCCACTTTCATTGTCACAAATCATCCTGAATAAGGGAGTGATTATTTACTCTCGATTTGACTGGTGTAGTCTGTGGTCCTCTCTGTCTCACTTTGGATGTGGCAATTTCAATAATAAAGGGTTTAAGGAGGTTGTCCCTCAGCTTGCTTGTGTTCTCAATGACAAATGCCGGGCAATGCAGGAGCCTATAAAGAGAGGTGTCTACATGTGAGGGATGTTGAGTCAGCAGTTAGTGCTTGTCTGAGCATATGCACATCACTGCATCTGTTCATATGCATGGCATTCTCTGTGTCAGTGCCTAGAGCAGTAAATTGAAATTTATGTTTATAGATGCATGATATTGCAGCGAGACCACATAATGATGTCAGGATCATGTATGGTGACTGATGGGAAAAAGCAGAGACTGCAAAGTTTTCTGTGACCTTGAAGCAGTGTGCCTGAGGTCGCCTGCAGCGGTCCTTCTTATGCTGCAGTGTTACAGGGGACCAGCAGACAGCCAGCTGCAGCAGGAGGAGCGTTAGGCAATGATATCTAACATTGGGGCAGCGGTTTTCAGTCAGGTATCAGGACATTCGGGACTTCGTTCTTCCAAAGAACCGTGACATAAACTTTAATGAAAAGATTAAATTCCTGAAAGAACCTTAAGGACTTTAATTAATCTGACAAAACATCGATCGAGATTGGAAAGCTATCTTTAAAACACCCTGACAAATCTGCAGAAGTTAATTGCTTTACCTTGTTAACTTTTTCAAGTAATCAGAACATTAAACATTATCCTTGAAAACACTGATGGTATGAATTTGTCATTGGTCCAACCGCACCTTAACAGGTTTATGTTACAAGAGGAATACTATGATCTTTTTGTGAATATTTGAAGAAATTACTGAAACAGATCAGATTTCAGAGGAAACAACAGCTTGTGCCCAATCAGGACAAATAAAACAAGAGACCGAAGCCCCTAGGCAGACAGATGTTCTTGCAAGTATTGAGAAGTAGTATAAAAGAGGAAGAAAAAGTTTAATCCCCAAGGTGACAATGGATTGGATGATCCTGCAAGTGGATGCTTAGTCTGCAGTATAGAAGCAAGCTACTAGGACCCACACTCCCTTTCCCTCATCAAACAGCGATTGGCTCGTGCAGAGTAAATCTCCTATCACAGAGCTCACCTATAATGTCCCCTCTGGCGAAGGAGGGATCAGGGAGAACAACACCAGGTGACCCCCACATTCAATGTGGTCAGATACCTCTGTGGGTGTTTTTCTTTATTTTTTAGCGGTTTTGAGAGCGTGAGGGAGCAGTTGTGTATGTTTGTGAGTTTCTGAGGGTGTATTCAACATCTCTGGTTTCGCACATGGTGTTAAATTACTCAGTGGGAGCTTTAATACAGCTAGAGACGCTCTTGATTGGAAGTTTTGGATGAGGGAGTGTGAGGGAGGTAAGTGGGGAAGAGAGCGGAGCCGGCAGGCAGGACAGAGAGGGCACAGAAACTTCTGCAGAGCCAGGATCACGGGTGAGTCCTCATTGCATGCATGTTGTGTCACATTGACACAACTTATGTTTTAAGTGTCCTTCGAGTGCAAACTATTCTTATAAATACCAGCAGACCTTCAAATAACAGCAATTGATTTTAAAATCTTTTTGCATTGAGTAAGGTTTCTGAAGTCTATAGACGTTAGTGCCTACTTCTTAGTTCTTGGTAATATCCATTGTATTCTTGCTACTTAGTGACCCATGGTCACTAACATGAGCCAATTAACTCCAATATTTTTGTAACAGCCATCTATGATTTCCTTACATAAGAATCAACTCTATACCCTCAGCTGTCATGCTATCTGCTAAGCTGAGAATGGAAACAGAGCCATGTGAATCACCTTGAGTCTTGAAGGGCCCCTCGGTGTCAAGTGCATTGCAGCCCTGTGTTGTTTGTTAGGATTTGGTTACCTGTCAAATCTTTACTGAAGGAATGATAAACAGCCACTTAACTATATGGCAACTTTAATATCGGATTACCCACCCAGAATCTAAGAAGGATTGTGATGATACATAATAATAATATTACATAGATAATAATAAGCGGTAAAAAATAGAAAATTTGAAATTGTATAAGGAAATCATATATGGAAAGAAAACTATGTGTCATTTAAAATTACCTAATGTATCGGTCAAAGATGCAGAATCAGTTGTGTGGACAGAAAAAAATGTTTTGCTGCACATTATCAGCAATAATGCACTGTATGCAGCATGTAAGCACTTTTGAATCTGATCTTGGGGAGTTGCAGTTTCCGTTTAGGTCATTGAAAAGAAAATAAAGAGGAAAAAAAGACCTGTACATGCAATGTATCAGATGGCAGGTTCTCTGCTGATGCAAACAGAATCTGAAAGAAAAGTATTTTTTCAACAGGACTAGATTGAACCGATTAACACTACTTTAATATGATTCCTTTCAACACTTTTTTGCAGATAAACCAGAAGCCTGCATTAAAATTTAGTTTCCAGCAGTCTGAATGGTAACCAGGTGGAGAGAAGCTGCAGTAGCATCCTCAGCGTGGCACTGGCTGAAGTGCCTCCTCTACCTACGGAAGATTGACCATCAGAGCTAGCATCAAAGCCGGCAATGGAGGTGCCGCTTGTGAATTTTGAAAACATGGATGATGTTGGAATCAACCTCGGTGATCCAAGCGACTCGGGTTACCCGACCTCACCCACCTCAGAGGCTCCTGATCAGAACCTGTTGGCCCATCGACTTGCTTCTCCTCGCCAGTCCCCACGCAGAGGACGGCGACAGCGTCAGTCTGGTCAAGATGGGTTGTCCCCTTCTACTCCTCCAACTCTTACCTCAAAAGCAAACTCCAGCAGTGGCAGCTTGATCTCAAATCTCAAGCTTCTGGCCAACAGTGAGTCCCCCAGTGACAGTGTCTTCAGTAAGATGCTAAAGGATTATTATGAAAATGAAGATCTCTTTGAAAAGCACTGTTTTGAAGAAAAGGATGAGAAAGTTGTCATCAATGTTTCAGGACTGATGTTTGAAACGCAACTCAGCACCCTTAGTAAGTTTCCAGAGACATTGCTGGGTGATCCCATGAAGAGGATACATTACTTTGACCCAATGAGAAACGAATATTTTTTTGATCGAAATCGTCCATCGTTTGACGGAATACTCTACTACTACCAGTCAGGTGGGAGAATCCGCAGACCAGCCAACGTTCCCTTGGATATTTTTGCAAATGAAATTGTTTTCTATGAGTTGGGTCATGAAGCAATGGAACAGTTTCGTGAAGATGAAGGCTTCATCAAAGAACCAGAAGTCCTCTTACCGACCAATGAACTGCAGCGGCAGTTCTGGCTTCTGTTCGAATACCCAGAGAGCTCCAGCGCAGCTAAGTCCGTTGCTCTGGTCTCTGTCTTTGTCATTGTCATTTCAATCTTTATTTTCTGTCTAGAGACTCTTCCAGAGTTCAGGGAGGACAGTGACTTTCCTCCAGGTTTCATCCAAATGATCAATGGCTCTCAAAGCAGTTCTCCCTCTTACCCTGCCCCTAAAACTGCGTGGACATATCTCACAGACCCATTTTTCATTGTTGAGACTATTTGCATCATATGGTTCTGCTTTGAGCTCGGTGTCCGTTTTGTGGTGTGCCCCAGTAAAAGTGATTTCTTCAATAACATCATGAATATTATTGACATTGTGTCTATAATTCCTTACTTTGTTACTCTTGGAACTGAGCTAGCCACAACACCCGATGATGATGTGAACGCAGGTCAGAACATGTCCTTGGCAATTTTGAGAATCATTCGACTTGTGAGAGTCTTCAGAATTTTCAAGCTGTCTCGACACTCAAAGGGTCTTCAGATTTTGGGTCAGACTCTAAAAGCCAGCATGAGGGAACTGGGGCTGCTAATTTTCTTCCTATTCATAGGAGTCATTCTTTTTTCCAGTGCCATCTACTTTGCAGAAGTGGATGAGCCCCAGACACAGTTTGTTAGCATCCCTGACGGCTTCTGGTGGGCTGTTGTAACCATGACCACTGTCGGATATGGAGACATGTGTCCGATCACTATGGGAGGCAAAATGGTCGGTACCCTCTGTGCCATAGCTGGTGTTCTGACCATTGCCCTACCAGTCCCTGTCATCGTTTCCAACTTTAACTATTTCTACCACCGTGAGACAGAGCAAGAAGAAAAACAAGTGATGGATGCAGCCGCAGAAGCTGCACAGAAAATGTCAGCTGCTAACAGGAGTGGAAGCACACTCTCACTCAACAAGAGTAATGGGACTTGGCAAAATGAGAAAAATGGCATGCATTGAGTAAAATGTTTCATTTTTTAAACTTACGGGGCCAGATAAACAGGAATTAAAAAATAAAACATATCTGTTAGTGAGGCACAAGTGATTTATCTACTCGTTTTTTGTACCTGAAACACTTATGAAGATGATTACAGTATTATTAGACACTGATGGCACAGACAGTACACAATCTGTCTGTCTGCATGTAGACGTGTCAAAGTGCAATTAACATAACTGAGCAACTACTGCTTCAGTAACTCTGAGAATACAAAGTGCAGTAAGAAAAAATAACCTAAGAAGTGCAAACTGATAAGACCTTAGTAGAATAGGTTTGTCTGTCAGATAAAAACAAATGAAGTAATCTAGTTATTTTATCATATACAGTGAAATCAGATAGGCATTGGCAGCATGTTCAAGGGCAGGCAAGTGTGTGTAGTGTAAAATAGGACATTGGCTTACTCATTGTCTTCTCAGCACATCTATAGGTGCAAATGTACAGCCAGCGGCACCTCCCCATGTAACAATATCTGTGTGATAAATAGCAGGCGAAGTCGCATGGCCGCTATTAATCTTGTAGATACCCTGCAAAGTTAAAAATAAAACTGCTTTATCTTCAGTATACATGCAAGGGTTTGCATGCAGCGGTTTTAATAATCACAAACACAGATTACTTTTTTAATCTATTCGTTTTATTATAATTTGGCACCAAGCAGCAATGCAGATGTATTTGACTTTAACTTGAACAACGAAACAATTTATATTCTAATGTGAAATAAATAACCCTTTAATATTGCATCACTTCATTGCACTAAAAGCTTTTTTTCTACATATGTCTTAAGCACTTTAGGAGCTTTACATCCTCCATTGCTAGCAGGGAAAATGTGTTTGTAAGAGTGTACAGAATTGTAAAAAATTATATAAATATATGCATTTGTGAACAGACTAAATGGTAAAGGCAAAAAAGCAAAGAAATATTTTTTATTTAAGAATTTTTTTTCCATTTGCCGATGATTTTTCATTCTTTATTGCATGGCATAATGACTGATATGACATTTCATTCCTTTTATCATATATGAAAATTTTATACATGTGAGTATATATTGCAACTGAATTTACAATAATATTTTTAAACTATTATGAGGAACAATATACTGGGGATGAGATAAAGAGATAATAAAAACATGGACTGTGAGATAATGAGAAATGATTACTTGCATTTTGCACAAGATAAGATGAATATGAACTATTTATGCATGAAACATTTTCTTCACTGGAACATAGTGTATGTGAGTGTTCATATAAATATCTCTTGTACCGAAATGTCAGTGAATGTAATTGTATCTCAGTCAATGCCTTTATAATAATCCTTAAAAAAATGGGCCTAACAGAAAAATGCTTTTCACCTCCCGAAAAAGCTGTACCTGTAAGGAAAGTATATTGCAACAAGGTGACATTAGTAGGTCACTTCAATAATCAGCACTTTAATATGTTATGGAGCACTGAATGGGTGAAGACTGTTACTGTATGTGTCAACTTTGTACAGTACAGTGTCATAATTTGCAATGTTTTATTTATCCTGCAAAGAGTGCCTTTCATTAAACATGTACCCAAACTGCATCATGTTTCCTTCGGTTGAGCTTCTTCCCCAGCCTGGGACAAAACATGTGCGTTTTTGGGCAGATACAGGGGTTTGTGCTTCTCTTTTCCGTAGATTTATTTATAAAAGTGATGAATAAACGTGTGTCAGTTTTTGTCGTTAAGGCTGCACACTCATTAACACCTCATCTTGGCTTGTTATCAACACCTTCTTGCTGGTTATTTGCATTGCTGATATGATTAAAATGGTTGTGCGGTGTCTGTCATATGATAGGATGGAAAAACAGCTTGGCTTTTTAATTCTTTTTTTTTTCTTGCTGTATCGGTATCAAAATCCCTAATGTTGTGATGTAAAAATAAGTCTGAAGGAGCAGATGTTTGTTTGAACTCTTACAAGCCTGTTAACTAATTTTTACTAAATGGAAAAATAAGCTGGAATGCATAAAAAATGTTGACCAATTCGTAAGATAAAAAATGAACATAACTGAATGCGGAACAGGACAGAAACAGTTTTCTGTTGGCTTAACTTCCCTTTAAACGGGAGGAGTTTAGCTATCAGAACAAGTTTAACAATGCCTTTGACTGGGACCTGAACAGAAGCAAAAACACCAAGTTAAATATGCAGAGCATATTAATCTTTTATAACATGATCTTACTGGGTCTGTGAAGTGAGTCAGAGAGTGTTTTTCCTGCTGTTTTAGTCACATTTTTTCATATGCTGGAGACATTGTCAGTCAGTTAATTCAGACCACACAGAACTGGATTATGAAGTTCTTGTGATTTGTAATTTTCAGTCTGCTTGAGAGATTTAATTGCACTCCTGTTGAGACTAGTGCTGAGTTTTTAAGCCATTTAAACTATTTAAAATGTATGCCACTCCTCTGATTTCTGATTGCTTGCTGATATCCCACAGATACCCTCTGTTCGAATTTTAGAATATAAAAAGACAGTTGGCTCAGGCAAGGTCAGGCTAAAGAGAGGCTGTCATTTATAATTCATGGGGTGTTTCATGAGGAGATCAAATCCAGCCTACCTTTGATGAAAATTCAACCCCCGAGAAAGCTGCTCTAAGACCACCACTCAGATCTGTCACTGTGACGCAGCAGTGTAGTGCAAATCTTAGTAGAACTATAAATATCTCTGTAGCATGACTGCTCTTTCCTTCTGACTCTTCCAGGCGCTGACAAGCTGCATCCCTCTGCTCTAAGTGAAACAATGGACGGGTCTCACGCAAAAGCCACTGAGCCATAAGACACTGAGTCTCATATCAGTGGATTGGGTTACTGTACTGTCAGCACACATGTTAATTTAATTTTCAGTCACACAGACAGCAGGCTCTGCACTTTAGTTTATGTTCTCTGGAGGGTAAAGTCACCTGGAACTCATCAGACTGCATTTCAATCAAATAGTTTCTTTAAGACGCTACAACTTGTATGGAAGCGGAACAAAGTATAAAGTAAAAGTGCAAAAACAACATTGGCAGCA